TCTCTCTCTCTCTCTCTCTCTCTCTCTCTCTCTCTCTCTCTCTCTCTTCCTCCCTCTCTCCTACCATTTTGGTCAGATGTAGCACCATGAAAGATCTGACCAGTCCTGGACAACTGATGTGTTAGGATTATCCCAACACACCCTTAGTTAATGGTTAATGAAGACTCTTAGGGAGTATAGAGAACAAGGGGAAACTAGGAGTAAACCACCAGAGCCCTTCCTGTGACAGACCATTAGATTCTTTACTTTCGAGTGAGGAGTGGACAAGGATAGAGTACCTATCAATGTCCCCTGGGAAATCCATGACCAGGGCATTCTAGTTCTTGATCTATCTCTGGTCATAGTACAGATGATATTTGGATAGTTGAACCATTAGATTGTAAGCCTCTTAAGGGCAGAAACTATCTTTTTTCCTATTTCTATATCCTCAGTGCTTAGCACATAGTAAGCACTTAATAAATGTTTAATGATTGGTTGATTGATAAGTTCTTGTGACCTCGGAGACAAGACCTGAAGGAAGTTGTCATCTCTGAAAGGCTAGAACTGAATGAGGACTCTTCTACCTGCTAGATCAGGTCCAGCTGGAACCAGGGGAAAATGATATGTGAGTGTATTAATTTTCTGAAAGTGAGAAATATGTGCTCCTGTCTTCCCGCCACAGCAGGGAGCCATTTACACATAAAATAAAATGTGTAAAAATAAAGAAGTCTAAAAGAAAAACTCTGCTTACTGTCAACTTTATGAAGAGACAAAAGCTGGTATGAACAACAGACTTCTCATCCTTGTTTAGGACTGCTTGGGCAGTCTTAATGGCTACCATAGCTCTCTGACCTTATGCCTTGAACTTCCAACAATGCAGGAAAGCCCAAAGGCTTTTCCAAACAATTGGGATTCTTCCCCATCTTCATGTCCCAATAAAAGCCATTTTTCTACCAGTGTCATTTGTAAAATGAAGAATAACTCATTCTTTCTATTGTTTTCTAAGAAAATCTTACCAGCATCCTTGGAATCCAGGTCTGTTTCAGAGCCAGAAATGTATTTGCTTAATTTTCTGTGGCTTCAGGTGTACAAAAGGAAGTTTATCAAAATTAGGCTATAGTTTTTTTTTGTTTGTTTTGCTTTTTTTTTTTACTTCTCCCCCTCCACTGCTCCCCCTCACTTCATCCCTTTCTTGCTACATCTTCTAGGACCATCTGAGGCCCATGAACTTTTTTTAAACCATTCTGATAATTTTATTTCAAAATAATGGGCTGCTAGGTGGTACAGTGGATAGAATGCTGGGCCTGGAGTTAGGAAGACTCATCTTACTGAGTACAAATCTGGCCTCAAACGCTTACTAGCTGTGTGCCCCTGTGCAAGTCATTTAACCCTATTTTGCCTCAGTTTCCTCATCAGTAAAAATGAGCTGAAAAAGGAAATGGCAAACCACTTTAGTATCTCTCACAACCACAACAATTATAATCCTATGTATTTTATTTTATACATTTAATTTTTTTTTCTGAAGAGGTGTCCATAGGCTTCATCAGTCTGCTAAAACTGTGACACAAAGATGTGTTCTTGAGTATATCAAAGATGTTAACTTTGAAAATAACGTTTGCCTTCTTAAGTATGTCAAAGATGTTGACTTTGAAAATAATGTTTAATATGACAGTTGGTGACCATTTACTCTTTCTGTGATAAAACAAACAGTGGGCTTGGGAGTTAGTGAGCCAAAGTGTGTATATTGTGATCAGAGCATGTGGGAAAATAAAAAGCAATTTCCTTCAGGAGATCTAGAGAGTCCCAGAGTTCATCTTTCCTTCTTCTTTGTCTTCTTCTTCTTCTTTTTCTTCTTCTCTTTTTTTTTTGTTCTTACCCCGAGGCTTTCAATGGAAAATGGATTTAGTACAAAATGAACCTATAGCCAGTTAGTATTTGCTTTCCCATGGCTAGTGGTCCAAGGTGCTAAAGAGGAATTAACATGTACCTACTAGAGGCTTACCCAGATACCAACACAAAACACCTATCTTTGGGAGTTTGGGGGTGTGGGAGGGTAAGGCAAGGACTTACATATTTAAATTTGCTCCATTGGTAGGCAGATTACTATGCTAACTTCCTTTAAAACTGAACCATTGGGCCCAAATGGCTAAGAGTAAAGACTACGGGTCTCATATTGCTGAAATTCACCTATCTCCCCACAGAGTGTCACCCTAACTCCATGTGCTTCTCTAGTTAGCTGTGTCTGTATCTATGGGTCACAGATTTTTCATGCAATGTTTGATTTGAATTTCCTTTGGACTCTCTGTATCATCTCTAACTGCCAAAAGTAACCCCCTGGGTATGCTTCCAGGCTTGGTTTAGGGATTGAGTCACCTTGACTCATTTCTTCCTCCATCTCCCTCTCTCCACCCCGATCCCTACACCCAGCTGGGGCCTCCTTTAACCCTCAAGCTGATAGACCTGCTCTGTGACATTTTCAGGTTTTCTTCATCTTTATCCTTGTCTTTTTCCTCCACTGTTAGTTCCAATATATATTTTTAAAGTAAATTCTCCTCTGGGTCAGAGGAAAGGTCTTATGTGACAAGGGCATAGAACAGAGGGCAGGGATGATAAGAAGAGAGTGAATTTTTAGGGCTACATGAATGAACACTCAGAAGGTCTTCAGGAAATATTTGTTGCTAAGTGACTGAATGAGATTCATATTCAAGTTATACATATTGGCAATTTCTATCCTACCCTGTCAGCCTTGGGATTGAAAAAACCCCTGGATGGTACCCAAGTCAACTGAGTGCTCTTAGAGTCAGAAGTAGGGGAATGTTCTAACAAGAGGTGATACCTTTAACATCTCCTTCTACAGGCATTGAAGTCGGGGACTTAAAGGAAAAACGTGACTATAGAGAGATCATGGCCCCAGACAGGGGACCAATGGGTACTGGGCTTAAAAAAAAATGAGACAACAACATATGGAGGAAATCTATCACAAAATTTCTAAAGTCTAATTTTTTTCACTGAATTCCATGAACCAGGCAGGATTTTTACATGTTCTGGAAGCCTCAATCATTCAGTTTATCTAACTGGCCATCTTGCCAACTCGTGATGGAGGCTTCTTAAATATAGAATAATTGCATTTGGAAAATATTAGTAAGGTTTTGACATTGAAAGCAAGGGACTTTAATCCCCTACCTGCCCTGGAAAGAAGGAACAAATATGACTCTATCTTAGCCAATGATATTTTCCTTCCCCTTGAAATGGGAAAGCTGTCTCATCTAGTATTTCTCACTTCCCCATGAGCCTCGATTTCAATCTAGTCTCAGTTCTCATTCTTATATACCAATGTCTATGTCTCATCAGGTTTTCCCAAACCTCGTATTTAAGATGATAGGATTGAAAATTCTTCTGGTTCACATGTATATCTGGAATAGGGTCGAAGTCACATAGAGCTCTTGCAAGCCTGAACACTCTAGTTTTCCTACATGGTTCTATAGGGACGGTTGGGATAGAGATTGAACTTGAGATTTCACTGATATAGGGAACTCCCCCTTTGGCAGGTCAGCACCTTTTCTGCAATTTCAAAGTCTCAGAGAATTGCCTACAATATTGAGAGAGTAAGTGATTTGGCTGGTTCACACAGCCACTATTTGTCAGAGGTAGGATTTCAACCCAGATCTTCTTGGTTCCAAGGTCAATTCTGTATTCACTAAACCATGCTGCCTCTAGATGGCGCAATATTAGGGACATGAAACATCTGGGCAAAACCTACCCTGTTTGAATAGACATGGGCGGGAAGGGGGGTTGATCTAGGTTTCTTGGTCTCAATCCCACTCAGTTGTTTTTCACCTAGTGTTTATGTAGCTCAGCCCTGCTCCCAGGGCCTGAATCCAACTTGTCAAAGGATAACCAGGATCACGGTTATAACACAGTCTCTTACTCCCTGTCTAGACCCTACAACCAAGCAAGGAAGGATGAAAGGGCTATATCCACTTACCCCTAGACTCCTAGCATTTGTTTTGGGACATGTACTTCACAGCAGCATGTGTGTGACAAAGGGTATTTGTTTTACCTTAATAGACAGCAAAAAATATATCATATGTTTCATATATTTATGTAATTTACGTAGTTTTGCTTAAATACTTGTAAAGAGTTCATGACTAAATTCATTACTGCTGAAGGAGTCTATGCAGCAGAAGAAAGGAAGCAAGACAGGTTAGAGAAGACAGAGCCGGCTAGGTGGCAGACCATTTATGATAAGAAGGTACAAAGAGTCCCTGGCAGCTTCTCCTCCATGATGTTGAGTTTGAGTTGACAAGTTGGGTGTGGGTGGGGTGGAGAGCAAGGGAGGAGAAACAGAGGAGAGTGTCTAAGATGAGAATGAGAGTAGAGCATGGTATAGGGGGATCTTGACCCATCAAGAGTAGTTATCCTGTTACTTGAATGAGGTTCTCCCCTTTTACAATTTAGGATGATGATGATTATCAATAAGTCAAATGTCTTTTGCCATGCTTGGCACTTAGAGGCATTCTCTCAGAGGACGTCTTCTTCTTCTCCCCCCTCCCCTTGTTTTTTTATGAGCTCCTCCAGGCACTTCTTGCTTCCATCAGTCTTTGTCTCCAGAGGATTCTTTTCTTCAGACTTCCTTCCTCGCCCACCCCACCCCCCTTAGCCAGAGGGACTTCCCCAGGGGGTCGCCTCTGGCTCACAGACTCTTGGGCCAGCAACGGTGTCTTTTTGCCCCATTTATTGATTCTCCTCTGCTTTAGGATCCCGGCAGGTGCATTCGTCTTGCTCACAGTCGGCAGCAAATGGGATTACCTATAGGAGATAGAGAGAAAACTATGTTACCCTGGGGGTTAAGAGAATACTTGGAAGTTTTGGGTTTTTTTAAATCCCATACTGTTTATTTCAAGATCACTTTTACCCACAATTCATCCAAACTTATCTTTATCACATTGTTACTGTCTTTTCTTATACCTAGATGAAATAGCCAGAACAGGCAGTTTCTGTTTTGTTTTGTTTTTTAACATTTTCTTCCCATGTAAGTCATATTGTGACAGAAAACAGAGGAAAAAGAATCCAAGAAAAATAAAGAAAATTAAAAAAAAAAGTATATTTCAATCTGCATTAAGACTCTGTTATTTCTCTGGAGATGGATAGAATTTTTTCATTGTAAGTCCTTTAGTATTTTCTTGGATTATTGTATTACTGAGAACAGCTATTTACAGTTATTCACAGTTGATCACTATACAATATTGCATCTTTGCATCTATCATGTAAATCTTTCCAGGTTTTTCTGACAGCATCCTGCTTGTTTCTACTTGGAAGTTTTTAACATTCTTCATATTCATTGTCTCATTTGATTGTCTCATGCCCTAAGACCTTGGAGGTAAGCTTTTTTTTTCCTCCTTGACATCAACTTTGATTTCACTGGTGTAAGAAATTTGCAATAATAAAACCCATTCCACTGATGGAGATCCAGAAAGTCCTTTAGCTTATAGTTTACTATTGGGATTCTTAACCTGGGATCTCTGACTTCATGGTCAGATTTCATGAGGTCTGTGAACCTTGAAGGGGAAAAAATAGTATGGCTTTGTTTCCCCTAACTTCTAACTGAAATTTAGCACTTCCTTCAAGCATGCAGTTATGAATGAAGGAAGCAAATATTATTCTGAGGAGGGTTTCACTAGATTGCCAAAGGGGTCCATGATATACAAAATGGATAAGAACCATTGTTTGAGTCACCTGGGGCACAGAGACATTAAGTGACTTGCTAAGGGTCACACAGCCAGAGCATGTCAGATGCAACTTGAACCCAGATCTCCCGACTGACAGACCAGTTCTCAGTCTACTATATCATGATGAGGTAGGTAGAATACTCATTTTACAGATGAGGAAGCAGAATTAGACAAGTTAAGCAACTTGTCCAATGTCCCATATATTAGTGGCAGAGTTTATGCTACAATACACATTTTCTGACTCCTAATTTGGGACGTCTGACGTTTACCATATTGCCACCAGGTGATAGAGTATTTTTGAGCACTGAGCTTGTACTTAGGAAAATTTGAGTTCAAATCTTACCTTAAGCACTGTTAGCTTCCCTTAGACTCAGTTTCCTCATCTTAAAAATCGAGTAGTTGTCACACCTACCTCACAGAGTTGGAGTGAGGATAATATGTGTAAAATACTTGGCAATCTTATAGTACTGTACAAGTGTCTGCTATTATCAGTAGTACTAGTAGTAATAGCAGTGGTAGTAGTAGTAGTGGTGGTGGTGGTGGTAGTGGTAGTGGTAGTGGTGGTAGTGGTAGTGGTGGTAGTGGTGATGGTGGTAGTAGTAGTAGTAATGGTAGTGGTAGTAGTGGTAGTGGTGGTAGTGGTGGTAGTAGTAGTAGTAGTAGTAGTAGTAGTGGTGGTGGTGGTAGTACTAGTACTAGTAGTAGGGCAGGAGTCAAAGTATTGTTACAGTCTTAGGAGTCTTGATAGTTTTATAGGAAAATTGTGCCATTTTTGGTTCCTTCCCAGATAAATGTATATGCCCTATTTGCTCTAAAGATTTATTGAAAAGTTTAGTGACCTAGGAAAACTCTGACATTCCTCTATCATCTCAGATGTGACTAAATTCCTTCTTTCTAGGCCTCCCCACTTTCAGAGGTGGACCAGAACTTACCTACACCTCCACCAAACTTCCCTTTCCCCAATAACTGTGCCTTCAGATTCTTGCCAATTTGCCTACAATGATTTACTGAAGTCGTGGTGCATGGGGTGCATAGGTACTCTGGGAAATATGTAAAGCACACACAGAGGTCTTGCCTTGTATTTGACCAACAAATCCAATATAGCCAAATCCATAACCAAGAGAAATCTATTCACAGTATGAACACAATGATTATCCAAGTGCCCTGAGGAAGACTGATCCAGGGACTTTGCCGGGTAGTGTTGCTTGGGTACTACTCCTAGCTGAAAATCACATGCCTGGGGCCAAGTGGATTAAATGGTACACCAGGAGGAATAAGGTTCTTTCGAGTACTGGTTTATGTGAAATTATATTCATAGGTATTGAAATGAGGTAGCAGTAAAGCCATGACCAGTAGGACTATGAGATGAAAACAAATGAATGGCAAATGGCTCTGACCTGTTACTTCCTTGGGTGAGGTGACTAGGAATCCCTCAGGAACACAGCATGGGGAGGAGGAGTGGCAGTCAGGTGGACTCCTTCATCAAGGTCTTCTTTAGCCTCAATGTGGAGACCAATCTGGGTGAGTTTCAACCTTGCACTTCAGGCTTGTGGGAAGTGATAGGAAATTGATCCTTCTAAACTTAGCTAGTTTGGGAGATGGGAAGGCTCCCGGGTGTTTTAAATGTTACACACGCATAGACTTTTTTAACTGAAAGGAATGTGGAAATTGTATGGACTGACACTATGTATGCAATTCGTTGTGGGCCCATGTGCAAAGAATGAAGCAAGATTTCCTTGACCAGTTGCAAATGGGCAGATTTTCCAAAAATCTTCTTCCCTGTTCTCTTCCTTTTATGTTCCACCACATGGGCTCTGCCTTCCCTTCCAACTTTAAATCCATGATCCTATGATCAGAAATGGTAGAATCTCCTCCACAATGTCATACACAAAAGGCTATTAGAGCCTGTTCAGCCCATGTGATGACCTTCTTCATTATTCTTAGAGCCTTAGCACTCTCAGTTCATTCAGATCACCGATTCCCAAAGTGTGGCCTAGGGAGATTTCTCGTATGGTCTGTGGAATGATCTCTTGAATGAATAATTTACTTATGACATTTAATAAAAATTAGATATCACCTCATGGCTGTCTCAACAAATGAACCTTTCTTCTCATTTATTCTATGGAGGTTTGGGGAGGTGGTGTTAAGTGAGAATGGATGTGGTGGATGGCTGGTCTATTGGGACTTTTGCTTTTGTTGCTGGGACTAAACAAAGCTGAATAAGAACACAAAATCATCCTAAAAACCCTCAGCTTGAATCCTGTAACTCTCAAGATTCTCCCTTTCCCCCAGGGTTCTTTCCTCCTCCTGAAAGTTCAAAGAAAATCCATTTAAGGAGACACAACATCAGAGGAGGAAGGGACTTCAGAGGCCATCTAATAATCCCACCCATACCTGAACAAGAGCCCCCATGACAGCATACCTTACAAACAGACATCTAGCCTTGATTGAAGGGAAACCCACTAATTCCAAAAGTGGCCCATCCTGCTGTTGGATAATGCTAGTTTTGTGAAGTTTTTTTTTCTTTGGGTCAAACTGAAATCTGTATTTTTGTAACTTCCACTCATTTATTGGTCCTATTTCTGCTCTCCGAATCCCAGGAAAATAAGGCTTAATGCCTCATCCATATGGCAGCCCTTTACGTACTTGAACACAGCTATCACAGTACTTCCCCTGCCCCCTAAGTCTTCTCCTCTCCAGATTCAGCATCCCCAGTTCCTATATAATCTTCATATAGCATGGTTAAGGGAATCCTACACTATGATTGTTCTCCTTGGAACACTGCCTAGCTTATCAATGCCCTCTGTAAAGTGTAAGACCCAAAACAGAACACTGTACTCTAGATGAGGTCTGATCAGAACAGAATACAGTGGAAATATCACTTCTCTAGTTCTGGACTCGATGCTTCTCTTAGTTCCAAGATCATATTAGGCATGTGTGTGTGTGTGTGTGTGTGTGTGTGTGTGTGCTACAAAGGAGGGATATTTGAGGGAAATAAGTAGGCTGTTTCTGGAAATCAGGTACTGCCAAAAACTCGAATTGGCTTGGCTGATGGACTAGTCCAAGAGTAACTCAGTGCTTTCAGTGAGATCTACCCTTATCCCCTGGGGCCGCCTGCCCAAGCTGTGTTTACCTACCTTCCTGGAAGAGAGGGTTGAAGAACAGCAGTCTCCGCCATCATACTGACAGTAGGCTCGGTTGTTGATTGTATCGCACCACCCATCAGCTTGAAAAGGCTGGTGAGGAGAAGGACAAGTCAGCGTCTACGTATCATCCCAGGCATCACTGCTCTTGTTCTACTCCCCCTAGAGAATCCCTACAGAGAGTGCACGTTGCATGGCTCGGCTTCACTTAAACTCAATTCACACACAAGTCAAGACATCATCGCAGATGTCACTGGTACTCTTCTAGAACAAAGCACCACCACCCCCAACAGGGGCAGGAGAGAATACGGGCCAAATCTTACATAGAAGCCAGGCATCTGCATCCGCTAATGGTGATGAACTATTTTAATGACTCCAGGACCACTGCACCAAGGCCAATGACATCTTGCCAGGCCAGTGTCTTCAATCTTCTGAAGGGCCCCTTTTTACTTAGTCCTAGACTGGTTTGTCCACAGGGTCCCTAAGATGGCATAGGGGATGGATATGAATTTTCACCTAATTTTCCCAAATAATAGCAAAGTCTCATGCCATCGGGAAGCCAGAAGGAACCTGCAGGGACTATACTAAAGCGCTAAGCTCTGCCTGTAGCTCCTACCACTGACTGACTTGCTGTCAGTCAGGCTTAGGGGGTGGATCATTGGTCATTTCTTCTGCTTCCAAGCCAGCAAGGATGATGGCATCTATCACTTCCGCTGGATCAGATGAAGACTAGTACTGAGAGATTAGGAGATTCCAGAGACACTATGTAAACACGAAAGGATGACTCTCCCAGAGCAGCTTGTCATTGCATTTGGTGACCCCGGTCCTGGGGCAGAAATGTTCACACATGTGCAGTAGTCCTGTGCACACAGTGGTGAAACCACAGGGTAACAGGAGAGCAAGCCAAACAGTTTCCATTTGCTCCTGTTACTGCTGCAAGTTAGCAGGAACCAAAATGGGAATCAGGCCCAGGCCAAACCAGAGTTAATGGAGTGTTTCACCCCAAAAGGGAACACATGATAAGAACAGCAACAAGTGGTTAAACAATAACTCAGTGGCCCAATGCCATGGATCTCAAGAGTAAAAGCCCTGGCAAGAAATACAGTCCCACAGCATCTTGGAGGACTTACCAGCCAGCCCACCTACTCAATAACATTGGCTCCACTCCATCCTAAACTGATGAATTACTGCAAAGCCTCTAAAAACCTCTCAAGTTAATTGCTTAGGGCAGGGATCCTTAACCATTTTTGTATCTTTGACCTCTTTGGCAGTCTGGTGAAGCCTATGGATCTCTTCAAAAAATAATGTTTTTTAAAATGTGTAAAATGAAATACAAAGAATACAAAAGATATAAAATAAACTACATCTATTGAAATATGGTTATAAAATATTTTAAAGAATAAATATTTTTAAGAATAAATTCATGGAACTCAGGTTAATAATCCGTGTTTACAACTATATAACACACCGGTGTCTCCCAAGTTGCAACTCTAATTCTGAATTTTTATGGGCAAACCATTTCCCCTCCCTTATTTATGCCTCAGTTTCTTCATTTGTCCAACTGGGATAATATCACCCATTTCAAGGGCTTATAGCAGCTGCTAGTAAAAGATGATCTATCAAATACATTAGATTAATTTATTTTGTATTATATGTATATTATATTACAGAAGCACATATTTATATAGTGACCTCATTTTTATATGAATTTGACACCATGGAAGGGAGTTCCTGGTGATGAAGCTCCCTCAACCATTGCAGTGTGGCAGCTACTCTGCAGTTTAAAGTTTTAGGGAATTATAATTCTACCCATCATTATTTAAAGAAATCACATGCTAAGGGGTCCCCAAGTAGCAGACATCCTAGGCAGGCTGCACACCAGTTTGCTAACCACTGACATGCTGCTGCTACCTGTGGGGTGAAATATGACATCTATTTAACAGCCATTTAGCAATGTCAACCGAGAATGGTAAGCAAGATTGAGTCCTCTTTTCACCCCAAAGGTGAATCAGGGAATTACACAAATAGCCTAGAATGTGAGTGTTTGGATACTTGGGGCTTACTGTTCTGTCCCTACAGACCCTAGAATGATGGTGAAATCAGGATTTCTATTTTATAGCCACCCAAATAAGGATTTATTAGACTCGAGGCAATCTCAGATGCCTAGAGGAACATCTATGCAAAAGACAGGAGGCCAGGAAGATACTAAAAGATAGAAAAGTTCAGATGTAGGCTTTCCACTTTCAGCATTGCACTTGTTATTTCTTCCCCAACTCTACTTGACTCATTGAAAAGCTAAATCCATCCCTGATTTCTTTTCCACGTGAATGTCTATTTAAAAAAAAAAAACAATACAGACACACTGTCCCCCCATACATGTATACTGTCTCTGACGTGAGCTTTTTAGGTTTTCTTACATCTGTAAAATGGAACTTGACAGCGAGGACTGATAAATATTACAATGGGTAACCAAGGGAAGCTGTGGAATCTACTCCTCAGGAGGATGGATTCTCATCTGGGAATCATTAAGCATGGTCCGCCTGGAAGGAAGGAGCGTGGCTAGGTGACCTCCAAGGTCCTTTCCAGCTCCATAATCCTATAGGACTTAAATGATTTACAGACTACTTTTGTGCCTCTGTGAGGTCTTCTAGGAAGGGAAAGGGAGGGAAGAAGAGAGAGAAATGGGGAAATCAGCGGAAAGACCAGGATTTAATCTTACTCTATACCTATTAGAATTAATTGCTCCTCCCCCAACCTGCCAAAACCAACCACTCCACCCTAAACAAACAGAGTTGCCTATGGCAACATGTGCTGGGGAAACTTGATTCGTATCCAAAGTTATAATGGAAAAAAAATAGGAGGGGGAAAATGACTAATTGATCCAAAATCTTGAAAGCCTCTGAAGCCTGGATGTAGTCTAGGGGCTTTTGTCTCAACAACTGAAAGGTGTCAGGCTTGGGATGTGGGATATAATGTTTGCTGAAATTGCCTAAATGAATTTAGGCATTCTTCTTCCAGAAGGAAGCATTCCCAGATCTTCCAAGGGAGGGATTTTCCCCCCTACACCATAAACAAATATATTCGTTTCACCATCTAGCCTTTTACATATAGAGTAACACCTCATTTATCTGGCATCATCAGAAAATTTACCATCTGGATAACTGAAGCTTGCTTCTTCAAGAGCTAAAATTTTCCTTTTTGTCATTTTTCTGGATATCTTTCTTGAAAAAATAGATTATACACATTCTTATGATTTAAATTAAAACATGGGGAGCATAATTTAACTTTCAATGATCCAGAATCATAACTTAAAGCATCAAAGTAAAAAACAGTGCTATGGAGAGACAGGAAAAGCATACTGAATTTGGAGTAAGAAGACCAAAATTCAAATCCTGATTCTGCCACCTACTTATTACCTCTTCAGTGACTCTAACAAGTCCCTGAATTTCTCTGATTCTTTCACTGTAAAATGAAGAGTTTGGACTTCTAATGTCCCATCCAGCTCTAAATCTGTGATTCTATGATCTTAAAACAGGGTGGAGGGGGGTAGGCAGGGCCTGGCCAATGATTCTAGTACTGATGAGCACGTGCAGCAGAGCTAGCTGATGCAATACACCAAAGTGGACTTTGGAGCACACGTTTTTTGGACTCTTTTCTGGTCCTCTACCCATGTGGTGAAGAGGAACCCGTTTAAATGGGTGCACAGCTGAGGTTGAAGCATACTCAAAAGCCAAAGTGGATCTCTTAGTCTGGCTCTTTGCTGACTGGCTGGCATTGAATAAGGAGGACAAGATGCTGTGGGCCTCCAGGTAAGGGCTGGCATGAATCTGAGAACACGTAATCTACTATTTCCTTCTATCATTGTTGTGCCTGTTTCTACTTTTTTTTCCCCTTGTTTTTAAGTGAAGGAGTATCGCTTCACAAATAGTGAAGTCTGCATTGTGAGCCTCAGAGGGTGAGCATGGCAAGCCCAGGATCAGGAGTGCATGATGGGATTTGCCTGAAACCAGATGGTGAGGAGTTGAGTAGCCCATGAACTGCCTGACCCAGCCAGGGGGTGATCAAGATGGGATTCATCCAGCAGCTATGCCATATTTGGAAATACACTTAGTGGGGCAAATGTTATTTAGAAACTGCTTGAAATTTGAGCCCACTATCCCCAGGGACTGAAGAGGTTTAGGGGGAGAGTATTTCCTTAGGTGTCTGAGGAAATGTTTATGGTTCTGTTTTTGCTATGTCTTCACAGTTCAATCTAATTGAGGTTAATTGGTTAAAAGTAAAAACACCAATGACTGGTGGTTAACAGAAGGGGAGAGAAACAAGCTGAAATGAGGCTCCAGGTAATGACATTAGAGAATACTCCTTTATAGTACACCCCTATAAACCTGAAGGGGAGATGTAGACAATCTAACTCTGTGAACCCATATGCACTCTCTTTTTTTCTGGGGAGGGAGGGGGGAGGGAAGTCTAAAGCCAGAATCTCATGACAATAATGAAGCCTTCAGGATTTGCTTTTTGCCCCTACACTGAATGGCCCCAGACTTCTTTTTTGCCTTTACAATTCCCATGTTTTCTTTTTCTTTATCCTTGTGTTTTGTTTCTTCCCTCACTGACAGACTGTCAGCTGTGACTTTTTGCTGCTGTCAGTATGAGTGCGTGTAGCAGCCTCCCCACCCTTCCAATTTATTGCTTCTATTAGGCTGTGGGTGGGAAATTAGATAAAAGCATTTCTCAGAAACATGTCTAAAAAAGGAGTAGATAAAGGCCAGAGTGAGGACCTGGAAGGAGCTCTCCTATGAGGAAACTACATGAGCCATAGTGTATGACATCTGTTTTGGCTGCTCAAAGGACTGTTTTTCTCCCCCTCTCCTTGACCTTCTGGTTCTGAGCTGCGTTCCTGACAGTTAAGGTTGCTGAATAAGTGACCTCCTGGTTAAATGAATGATTCTTGTGTTAGGCACACAAGTATAATAAAAGTGCAAAGCATAATGGAGAGAGAGAGAGAGAGAGAGAGAGAGAGAGAGAGAGAGAGAGAGAGAAATTGATTGACAGACAGGCCAATATTGAGTTTGAGATGCCTTTGGGATAGCCAGTTCAATATGTCCAACAAGTAGTTGGTGCTATGAAATTGGCACTAAGGAGGGAGAGGGTATAGATGTGGGAGTAATCTGCATAGAGATGATGATCAAACCTAGAAGCTGATGAAACCACCAACCAATATACTATAGAGTGACAAAAGAAGAGGACCTAGGAGGAGCCTTGGAGTGCACTCATAAAGGATATAACATGAATGGAGAACCTGTGCTAGAGACTGAAAAGGAAGTCAGTTAAGAAAAAGGGAAAGAGAGAGAGAGAGAGAGAGAGAGAGAGAGAGAGAGAGAGAGAGAGAGAGAGAGAGAGAGGGACAGAGAGAAACACACAAAACCTGAAATGAAAATTCCTGGGGATTTCACTGGATATGTGTGGATATGTCCCATCTTCTCCTCCCCCTGCAACACACATTCTTTCCCCTTTCGTATGTCTTCTTCTCTTATGCTTCATGGGGGTAGTCATAGATGCACAGTAGGGAACTTCTATTACCAAGATGACTAATTCTCTCAAGGTAAGGCACATGATAGGACTCTGCTTCTCTTATTATGAAGTGTTGGAGGCCTGGAGAAGGTGCTAATCTAATCAAAAAGTTGATTCATGACTAATGCTTGATTACTGTTTTCTTCTGCCTTCCCTAAGTCACCTCCCAACAAAACCTCACAGTCAATCAGTCCTTTGGATGACTAATCACAGTCACATCTGTTTCTTTGTATTGTTTAGGCTGCATCTGTCTGGCCAAATAGAAGCTTTTTCTTTTTTTCCAAGGCAGCTGTGGTGCAGGCACCCAATGAAGTTTTTGTAGCAGCTGGAAAAAAAAAGTATGTAAAAATATAAACACATACATATACATATGTCCACACATATGCATGTGGAAATGCATGCCTATCTATATGTGCTACTCAACATTCTGCTCCCCTGATCAATGATCTTTGACCTACTTCTTATTTTCCTAACCCCATGTGTTGGAAGAGTTCACAGGCTTTTATCATTCAGCCTGTTTCAGCCCTCCTGTGACCCTCTTTGGAATGCAAAATTCAGACTCTCTTAGGATTACCGAACTTAAACTGGAAAGGAAATTTAGGGGTTATCTAGTCCAATCTCTCCACTCAGTTGTCCTGCATTCCTTGGTGACTGAGTCCTTACTTCCTTTCATGCTATCATGAAATTATGAGATGAGGAGTTTAGAGATCAGTCCCATTCCCTCATTTACAGATAAGGAAACTGAGGCCCACAAAATTGAAGGGAATTCGCTCAGATTCACACAGGGCATTCATAGCAGAGGTGATATTTGAACCTAAGTCTTCTGATTCCTGATCTATTGCCTTTTACTCCACAATACACTACTGCTATCAAGTGACTTGACTACCATACTTCCATTTCTATGGCAGAATGCACATTCCTTAGGCATGCATTGGAGGAAGGTTTCAGCTCTGGTACATGAATACTGATATCAATCAAATGATGAGGAATGAGCAAAATCAAAATGTAAAGGGGTACAAAGTCGTCCCCTTCCTCGTGGCTTTTTTTTTCTAATGCATTAGAAATTGACTGATGGCCTAATCTGAAAATGCCACTGAAGGTCAAAGGACTTAGCTTTTAGTTTGACCATTTGACTGCCCTGAGGTTTAAGCATGCAGAAGGAGGTAAGCTTGGAGCTGGGGCATTCAGGCCCCAGCCACAGCTGTGCATGTCTGAAGGAGAGAACAGCTGTTTTTAGGCAGAGGGAGCCTGAAGCCAGGTGGCTGAGTTGGTTCTGTATCTCATTTCCATCATCAGAGAGAAAATGAGAAAGAGAATCAGGCCTGGACCCTGCAACTCAGAGGAATGTGTATACATGGGGGTAGCCTGCCCTGATTTGGATGGCTTCTCCACTTGAGATATTGTGGGTTTGGGGAAAATCCTCCTAGAGATGGTATGAGTTTAAGTGATCACACATATCCTTTGTTGAACTGGGTGCTTCCACTACCAGTGGTTAACGGATAGCCCCTGCAAAGTTGGAGGTAGGAGCTGAAGTGTTCCACTATGAGAGTGGAAAAACTACAGCCTTCATGCTTTGGAACTCTCTCTTTATCTTTAATCCACCATTCAGGGTTAATAAAAGGCATTTATTGAGCTTCTGCTAATGCATTGGGTTACATCATGGTTCAAGAGCAGAATTCAGTGCTCTGGGTATTTTCTGGTTTAGTCAAGGCATTTTTTCTGCAAGACTTAAATCCAGGCCCTGTCCTTCAGAGCTCTATTACTGGCTAGAAATGTATGTGGTCTCTGAAGCTGAAATATAAAAACTAGATGTTATAATTAGGTCTTTCAACAGTCCCAAATTGCTCCCAGACACAAAGGTCTATCTCCTTGATGCTAATATTATCCTGGTAACCTGAGGTGGTTGTCAATAACAAAGCACCCCAACCTTGGAGGAACCAAAATTACTAGTAATCTAAAGAGAGATGGAAAACTTTCTAAGTCAGGGGGGAGAGAAGGTAGATTGAATTGCTGTATTACCAGTGATGACCTTCACATATGAATTTGGATCAAGCTTGAAGTGTGACTGGAAAGGAAGACACATAGAAAGAAAGAAGGATTTAAAACAGAAGACCTGGAGTTGAAGGCCAATTCTGTTGGTTTCTAAGTATATGACATCTGACAAATTACTTAAAACCTCTGTGAGTATCAATATAACAATGGCACCTAGCATTTATAGCATTTTTGGTTTGCAAATCACTTTACATATATTATTCACATACGTTATTGCAGTTGATACAACAACTCTGTGAGATAGGTGCTATCATTATCCACTTTTTACAGAAGAGTAACCTGAGTCTGAGATAGATAAAATGGCTTATGGGATTATAGATGAATCATCCTATCCCTTCAGGGTACAACCTATAAATTTGAGGGAGAAATGCAAGCTAATAAACGTACAGGACTCAAACTCGCGTCTCCCTGACTCCAAGGTCAACACTATACAATACTATACTAGGGCCACCTAGCTGCCTCCTCTGTAAAATTAGGGATGGACCACATGGCTTCTAAGGTCATTTGCAGCTTATGAAAGGGAAGTGGGTCTGAGTCCATATACAGGTTGAGCACTATAGTGGTATCTTTAAGGTATTGAAAGAACCAGATATTTAGCACATTGGATAAAAGCTGAAATGAAGAATAATGAAAAGGCATAAAGAAGCTGCTAGTTCCATCAGTGGTACATCCAATATTGAGCATACAAAGCTAGCAAACTATTTGGAATACATATCAAGGACTAAAATCCAAGAATAGGAGATCTGTTAAGGTAGGAGGAGAGTGGTGTAGACAGGGAATGTGGTAGTGGCATGGGACTGGAGAGGGAGGAAATGATAAAAGAGAGAGATAGGTAGGACATTCCCACTAGTCTAAGCTCTAAGCAAGTCTTGAAGGAATATTACCTCTTCTTGTTCCATGCCTCCTCCACACCTGGTATTGCCAGCTACTACATGATACCTGCTGATCCAGATGCATTGTGGAACTACTCTTCTCATCTTAAATCAAATCCTAGATCTCTCCTTCTATCTCCAAGATCTAAACTGTCCTATTGGAAAAGGTCATTGGTCCAGTGAAGGCCAGGAAGCATTGATAATGTCAAGAGGCAGACCTAACTGTGCCTTAAGAACGAGAAAACTGCTTCCATCTCCAACACCACCCTTAAAGAGGATCAGAGGTTCATAGATGTAGATCTGGGAGGGACCTGAGAAGTCATCTTGTCTGACCCCCTCATTTTGCAGATCAGGAAACTGAGAGTCAGGAAGCTTTTGCTCAAGGTCAAACAGATAATAAACCTCAGAAGTGAGATTTGAATACAGGTCTTATGATGAGAAGAGAAAAAAAATCTTGGGGAACAATGTTCCATAACATTGGAACTCAACAACATTGAGGCCACCCAAGATTATTCCAGGCCTATTAAGTGGGTCTTCTTATACTGGAAGGATACGCTTTCTCTTGCTTCTCTTCAAGGGAAACTTAAGTTTATTTACAAAGGTATGGCTCCATCTTCATCAGTAGGGAGTTTCCATACTCCCTTTCTCCACTTAAGTTTAGACTCTCTACTTCCCCTTCTCCCACAAATCACAAAAAACACCAAGAAAACCCACCACTTCTGACATTGTGAAGGGGTACTTGCTTCCCTATGTGACACTGGCCAAACTAACTTCATGTCCTAACCATAGATTTGGAGCTGGGAATGACTTTAGAAACCCTCTAGTCCAATCCACTCATTTTACACAGAAGCAAACAGGCCTAGAGGGTAAGTGATTTGCTAAGTGTCACAAAGGAAACATCAGATATATTGAGGTGGAAACAATATTGCTGCTCCCATTCCTGATATATCTTTCCCAGTCCTTGTTAACACTGATAGGAGAGGAATGTGGATGAATTGGTGAATGACCTCTCAATTGCCAGAGCTAATGGCTTTTTATCAATCCTCATCCTTCTTTCCCTCTCTGCAGCCTTTGATACCATCAATCACCCTCTTCTCTTGGTTATTATCTTCTCTCTAGGTATGAGTGACGTTGCTCTCTACTGGTTCTCTTCCTACTGTCTTGCCTTTCCTCAGGATTTTTTGTGGACTCTTCATCCAGAGCATGCCCACTAACCATGGGTGCTCTTATGACTCCATCCTAGACTCTCTTCTCTTCTCCTTCTGTATCAGGGCTTCTTACTCTTACTACTATGAAATATGTATGTAAATATGCATATATATATTTACACACATATAAATATATACATATATAATATATACATATATTCATAGTAATAGTAAAGTTGAGAAAAGGAGGGGGTTTGAGAGGAAAGATGAGTTCTGTTTTGAAGATGTTGAGTTTCAGATGCTTATGCATCTCAACAAATATATAGATATGGACATATATATGAACATACATATGACTATTTCAATAGAATTGGTTTCCTTAGCAATCTTATCTATTTTATTTTGTACATTAAAATTATTCTAAGAAGGGATTCATAGGTTTCTCAACTGCCAAGACTCCATAAAACAAACAATAAAACATCAAAAACTAGTTAACTATTATTCTTTGCAGATGGTTCCCTAATCTATATATCCATCTTTAATATCTTAAATGAGTTCCAGGCTCATACCATGAACTACTTTTTTGCACACCTCAAAAAGAATACAGCATTGGCATCTCCAACTCAACATTCTCAAAACAGAAGTCATATTTTCTCTCAAACCCTCTCCTTTCCCTAACATTGTTATTACTGTTGAAGTCACCAATCTTCACAAATTAGGTATCATCCTCAATTCCTTATTCAAATTCACCCTACATATCTAGTCTGTTGTCAAATCTCATCATTTCTATCTTCATATATTTCCTATAGGTTCCCTTATCTCCACTCACATAGCTACTAACTGGTTCAAGCCTTGATCATCTCACATTTGGATTATTGCAATAGCCTTCTCATTATTTGCCCTACCTCAAGTCTCTTCCCACTCCAATCCATCTTTCACTAAGCTGATAAAGAAACTTATCTAAAGCAAAGGTCTGGCCATGTCACTTATCTACTACATATACTCCAGTGGCTCCCTATTACCTCCAGGAATAAATAAATATAAAATTCTCAGTTTTTAATAACATGACCCCTTCCTATATTTCCAGTCTTGTCACACTTTACATCCTTCTATATACTCCAAGATGTAGCCATATTGGCTGACTTGCTGTTCATCATGCACGACATTTCATTTCCTGCCTTTTCACTGGCTGTCCCCCATGCTTGGAAGACTCTCTCACCTCACCTTGGCTTTCTGGCTTCCCTGACTTCTCAAGACTCAGCTTAA